TGTAAAATCATATTATAGTATGCTTTTCTTTGAACTAAAAATCAGCAATAAAAAAACTAGAAATTAGTTTTATTTTTGCCCTCCGTATCGTGTTGTTATTTACACTTACTACTATGCGGATAAAAATATTTATATTTGTTCATTTAACATCTGTTAAATTAATTTAAACAATAATCAACAGGTGACTGGTAAAAACATTTAATCTAATACATGTCAATGTTACCCATATGTTCATGTAACCCCGTTTTACCTTACTCAAAATTAAAATAATTAAATGAAAAATGGCAAAAAAAACTACAAAAAAAAAAATCATTTATTTAAATTCTAAATAAAATAGTTTCATTAAAAACTACAAAAAAAAAATTATTTAAATTCTGAATACCTTATTTAGATTTTAAATTTTCATTTCATTTAAAATCTAAATAGAATCATAAAAACAGCAACAAAAACTTTTAATTTAAAAAATAAAATAATTCATAAAAGTGTTTCAATGATTTTTCCTAAAAGTATTGATGAACAAAAAAATGATTTGTTACAATTTAAGAAATCATTTTTTAGCAAGCGCTTTTCTAGCTTGCTAAAGTTCTTGCAGGTATATGGGAGAGCACAAAAAAAGCTTGAGCACGAAATTGCTGGGAATGTTTTTCAAATTATTGAATCATACCTTTCTAACCCTGCTGATTACACAACTATATACTTCAGTTTTGACAAAGTCATCACTTTTTGATTGCATAGATCAGAGCATCTCTTATGTGATAGCTATGTGACTTGCTGTGGCTGATGAACAATAACCTGTGATAGCTTGGGACTTGCTGTGACTGATGACCCAAGCGAAACTTGGTTATTTACTGCTAATAATTATGACAATCTTTTTGATACTCCTCAATAAATAGTCTTACTTAATCACCTACAATACATTTTCTTGGATTATCCTTAGCTACAGAATTCTCATAGAAACCATGGAAACTATATATACAATTTAATGTAAAATTAGCATCTGCTAAGATTTCCTTCTCTTGATTTCATTCTCTACATCTATAAATCTCTTGTTTGTTTTTGTATGGAATACTGTGGTCATATTTGAATTGGTTTTTGTTATGAGGGCCTCTTACCTTTAGACAAGCATTGGAAATATTATTAGATCTGCAACGTTCAAGCTTCTGTATTACTGTTGTAAGGTTGCATCTCTTTCTTTTTTCTATAACTACTATCATGGTTGCTGCTAAAATGAGCTATTATTACTTGTTTCATTAACCAAAACTAAATCTCACAGGACAATAAAAAAACTTTTATTAGTCTAGCTTATTTCCTGGAAATGTTTTAGAATTATTTTTTATTGACTTATACAATTTATTTTGAGTCTTCTGTTAACCGTTCTCTTAATATTTAATTTTCTTTCTTTGTTCTCTCTTAATTATCAACTTAAATAGTAGTAGGCTTGCAGCTTTGTTGAAAATGAAAATGTTGAAAATGAATTAAAAAACAAACATAAAAATTAAGTCCTTAAAACTACAATATTTTGTTAAAAATTTTTATTGAATATTTTTCGTTATGTTTAAAGTTGTACTTTGAAAGTTTTTTTTTTTATAAATGAAATAATAAAAGTAATAACTAATAAATGTAATATAAAAATGTCATAAACAAATTTTTAAAGTTATATTATAGAGCACTTATAAAGGTGTTGGTATTTAAGTAAAGCCTAAGAATGGTTACATAAAAAAATACAGAGATAATCAGCAGACCTTTTGATTTTAATTCTATTGAAAAATGTTGACCTTTAATCAAGAAAAAGGTTGGCACACTAAACTCAATGAATGAAAATATTATTATGAAATAAAAAAAATTATATAAAAATAATAAAACTATATTTCAGGTTCATTATAAAATAAAGTTAATAAAGAACCTGAAATATAATTTTATTATTTTGTTAATGATACATTTATACATATTTATACACACATATATGTATATATATATATATATATATATATATATATATATATATATATATATATATATATATATATATATATATATATATATATATATATATATATATATACATATATATATATATATATATATATATATATATATATATATATATATATATATATATATATATATATATATATATATATATATATATATATATATATATATATATGTATAAAGTATAATTAAATAGAAAAATACAACTTTATAATGGAACTCAAAGTTTCATGCCTATCGGTAATCTTCAGCCATATATATTATACAAATCAAGAAAAAAATCGTTAAAAAATACAAAATGCAAAAACAGCAGTAGAATGAGTTCTGAAAAATTAAAAAACATGTTGTTGAAGTATTTAAATCGAACAATCTTCTGATATCAACACAGTGCAACATAAAAATTGTAAATTATCTGGACATTACATTAAACCTCAACAACCACACCTACCAACCTTACTCTAAACCCGGAAACTCTTTAAATTACATTCATGCTGAACCAAACAACCCATTCAGTATTTTAAAGCAACTCCCGCATTCTATTGAATTAAGATTATCATCAACTCGTCAAGCGAGGAAACCTTTCAAAAATCCACTCCTATGTATAATGAAGCATTAAAAAAGTCCGGTTTTAATTACAATCTTTCTTACCAACCTAACTTAGAATTATCTCACACCAGAACTGTAAGCAGCCGTGGCGCAGTGGAAGCGTACTAGCCTCAGGAACGTAAGACCCGTGGTTCAAACCCCAGCTCTGGGCAAGTTTTGCAACATCGGTTGGGAAGGAGACGTGAACTTCCTATTAAATACTTTTCCACGGTGCTCTGTGATAAGACCGTAAGGACTTCTTGGGGCACCTAAATCAACTTAAAAAAAAAAAACAACCATAAAACGTAACATCATTTGGTTCAACCCCCCTTTTAGCAAAAACGTTAGCACAAATATAGGAAAAATATTTTTAACATTAATTGATAAGCACTTCCCTATAAATCACAAGTTCCACAAAATTTTTAACAGAAACACATTAAAAGTAAGTAATAGCTGTATGCCGAATATGAAATTTGTTTTAAACGCCCACAATCGTCATTTTATAAACAAGAAGAAAGAATCATCTGAAAATAATTGCAATTACATAGATAAAAATACCTGCCTTTTATCAAACCAGTGCTTAACAAAAAATATAGTATATCAAGCTAATGTATGTTTCAACGATCTTGTTCAAACTCCCATCAATAAATTTTACATTGGCATAAGCGAAACATCTTTTAAAATTAGATATGTTAATCACATAAAATCTTTTAAAATTCCTAAATACAAAAATGACACTGAATTATCAAAGGAAGTTTGGAGATTAAAAGATGAAAACTTGAACCCGGTTGTTAGGTGGTAATTAAACAGTGTGATGCCTATAACCCTGTAACAAAACGATGTAACTTATGCATAAATGAAAAGTACGAAATTTTATTTTTTAAACACCCAAATTTGTTAAATAAAAAGAGTGAAATATTATCTAAGTGCGGACATAAAAACAAATTTCTTCTTGCCCAATTTGACACTGGCGATTAGCAGTTTTACCACTATGCTTCTATTTTATTCGTTTTGTTTTGACGTCGGAACTCATTCTACTGCTGTTTTTGTATTTTGTATTTTTTAACGTTTTTTTTTCTTGATTTGTATAATATATATGGCTGAAGATTGCCGATAAGCATGAAACTTTTAGTTCTATTATAAAGTTGTATATATATATATATATATATATATATATATATATATATATATATATATATATATATATATAGTCTTGCATGGTAGTCACAAAGTTTTTCCCATAAACTGTTGTTTTAAAGAGCGCGTTAATAAGCATGAACAGAAAATATTAAAAAACTTCAAAAAAATTTTTTTTTAAAATGATAGACTGCCTGCCCAAACCAAACCCTCAGTCGATGTAGCAGCACTCCCTTGCGAGTCAGGCTATTTGTCAGTTGATGTAGCAGCACTCCCTTGTGTGTCAGGCTATTTGTCAGTCGATGTAGCAGCACTTCGTTGCGAGTAAGGCTATAAGATAGTCGATGTAGCAACACTCCCTTGTAGCAGCAGGCTATAAGATAGTCAATGTAGCAACACTTACGCATGTTTTAAAAACGTTTTTTAGTGAAACAAAAACAAAAACACCACTAATTAAAAAAAACTTTCTAGTCATTATTATTGCGGTTTTTTTAAAAAACAATAAAATTTAATGTACTTCCGCATTAATTTAATTGCTTTGACATTTTGATGACAATCAAATACAGCTTAAGAGACGAGGTAATAAAAGTTGTAGTTGAAAGAGACTTTTTTTACTATAAAAGTCTCTTTTGACTACTCTATAAGGATATATATATATATATATATATATATATATATATATATATATATATACACATATATATATATATATATATATATATATATATATATACATATATATATATATATATACATATATATATATATATATATATATATATATATATATATATATATATATATATATATATATATATATATATGTATATTTTTATATATATTATTAACAAAATTATATGTATGTATGTATGTATGTGTGTGTGTGTATGTGTGTATATATACATATATATATATATATATATATATATATATATATATATATATATATATATATATATATATATATATATATATATATATATATATATGTATGTATGTATATATATATATATATATATATATATATATATATATATATATATATATATATATATATATATATATATATATATATATATATATATATATATATATGTATATTTTTATATATATTATTAACAAAATTATATTTCAGGTTTTTAGTATCTCAGAAATATTTAAGTATTTGATTTAAAAAGCATTTAAATAAAAAATCATATTTTCATCAATTGGTTAACTTAAATGTAAAAAACAATCATACGAAACATCGTCATCTTTGATTTGGTAAATGTGAAAAACAATTATACCTAGCATCCTCATCTTTAATTGGGTTACTTAAATGCAAAGAGCATTTTCCAGAGTCGATATCAACAACAATATTGAGTTCAAAATCCATACCAACAGTATTTTGAGGAATTTTTGCAATGTTATGCAGATCATTTTCACTCAAATCATTATTCTTGTCAAAATATTTTCTTTCAGAATTACTGTCACTATCAAATTTTACTCTATTTGCTTTTGAAGAGTTTTCTGGCTCCTGATTGTTTGAAATAACTTTTTGGGAAGATAAGTTTTTAGAATCAAATGTGTCTCTTCGAGATGATTTCTGGCGAAAGAGCATTTTAACATCCTTGAAGAACTCTATAGAGAGAGCATTTTCAATTTCTTGTAAGATCTTTACTTCACGAGCAATTAATTCATTATCTGCATTTTCACGCCTAAAAGATAATTTTCAACAAAATCAATGTTTATTGATGTTAAAACCTAAACTCAAATTAAATAATTTAGTGATATTCATCCAAATCCACAAGTTTAATTTTGTTTTTTGGTAAAAATTCTATTTTTGAAAAAAAAATATAGAGTTGCCTATTATCTGTTGTATGTCGTTGTGAGAAAAAGTATTATCTGTTGTATGTAGTCAACTGAGAAAAACTGCGTAGTTTTTTTTTCTGGGATGTTTATTTTTTTCTATATATTTGAGTAAAAATGGTAATGTTATTTAAATAACTTTTTTTTGTATTTTCAATTGAAAAAATTACAATATTTGATAAGTTTCATGTTATTTCAATATACTTTCATCAAAGAAGTTTTTAACAAATTTACGATTAAAAAGTTCATATGAATGTCCTCCAGTTGTGTTAAATCTGCAGTGGATAAGTCATTTTTTTATGCTTTTGAATAATGTAGGGGTATACCTTTGCTAATTAAAATAATTATTATTTGAATGTGGTACATAAAGGTATTTGGGGTTATTGTGTATTGTTCATAGAATTCTTTAGCCCTACTTACTTACCTATTAGGTATTTTTTGATATACAAATCAAAACAATAAACAAATCTACAATCTATAATGACTAATTTTACAAGTTGGTTACTATTGGTTACTATTAATAGTGTTTTAATGCTGAAGTCAGATGCAAATAAGTTAGTTTATAATCAATCTAGTATTTTTAATTTTCTTGTGTAGTTCTGAATGTTTTTCATACATTGGGTCTATTTAGATTTTTGAGAGAAATCTCAAATGGCTATTCAGTTTCAGTATAAAATCTTCAGGTTTTGTTACAAGCATAAATCATCATATTTTAAAAATCCGGAAAACTGTTTAGGTATATTATACCAAAAAAATCAGGAATATATTTTCCTTTATTTTCTACTTTATTTTGCTTTTAGTTGAGCTGAGTTGTTTCCGATTTTTTTTCAATTTTTTCTTAATTTTTATTTGCGTGAAAAAGCTTAAAAAAATATATTACCAAAATATATACCTAAATTTTCTATGTATGAAAAATGTTCTGAATTCCCGAAATATTCAGAAAAAGATAATCCCTGGTTACAAGTGAAAAATTGTGACAGTTTAAGTAATTTATCAGTTCTTAGTTTTTTTGTTTAAAACAGAATACAAGATAATTAATATGAATGTTTAATTTTTTTTTTTTGTTAATTCATCTCCTCAAAGCCAAGAAGGGCACTACAGACGAGGAGGCTACTTATTTGTGGTTAAATAACCCTCTCTCAACTCTATAACTCCGAAACACGAACCTTGATGAACAAGGCCGCTGCGCAGAGAAACAAGTTGAGCGCGGTACTACCAGGGACGTGGTGGGGATCGAACCCGGAACCACTCGTTTATGAAGCGAGCGCTCTACCACTACACCACTACCGCATTTAATTAATACAAGAAAATATTTTAGTGAATAGAAAAAAGCCATAAGAACTTTTTCCATAGACAATTTTTTGGAATTTGAATTCAATACAAAATAAGTAGATAAGTGTTAGCTATGATTTAACATAATTAAGATATATTTTTTATTTATGTTAAATTAACACTTTTGTGCTTCAAATATTTTCTTAGAATTTAGAATAGACTCATTTTTAACAATAGCAAGTTTAGGATAAAGTTTTTAGGTTAAAGTTTTACATGTTAACTTTTTATTCAACACAACATTTAAAAACTTTTAATACCTTAAATTATTGACAAGGTTTGTTTGTATCCATAACTGTTTATCTAGTGAATACTCCCGGTTTAGTGACATTGATCTATTAAAAATATCATCTTTATTATTTAACCCATCTGTTTCATTATCTTCAATATCAGCATCAGTCACTGATGACAAGTCTCCTACATCTGACTCTCCCACAATTGTTGTTAAGGCATTAGTAAGAAGGCGCAAATGCTTCCCAATATTTGAATCAACATGAATATCTATACCACACATTTTCCAAAACAATGTCATTGACCATTTTGAAGGAAGACCTAATGACAGCAATGTTTATAAGAAACTGGTATACTATTTATGCTAAAATACAATATTTCTGACATATCTTAAACTTATTTCTTACCACTGGCTCCATTTGTTGAAGTAGTTTTAGAACACAATTGATAGCTTCCTTCAGGAATGCAATCTAAATTAATAAACAAAGTATTATGACTAGATTATGTAACTTTTGTAAAACAAATGCAATACTGAAAAAACTCTTACAAGTGTTCATTAATTCTTGTTCATTGACAATCCATTGTATAGCTGTATGATCAAACGATTCATTAAATTGTAAACAAAATCTCCGAAATAATCCAGTGCTTACAAATGAACCACTGCTACAACAACTAATAGACATTTCTTGAATTGTAATAACTAATGAATGACCATGCTCGTTTTCTAAAGTTTCCAAAAAAAAAAATTACTTTAAACTCTAAGTGACCAGGGCTTATTGTGCTGTGGATACTAGTGATGCACCAATGAAAAAAGCCAATTGTGGCTAATAATAAGGTTTAATGTATGTATATAAAGGTAATACATCAATGAAAGGTATGTAATTTGCATATATAAGTTGCGTCTATGCACCAATAGTGGTTTGGCCTATTAGCTAATGTTGATGCCTTGACCAATTGCAATTAATCAGTTAACCTATCGGCCAATTATTGGCCGATAGTTGAGCTGATTATTTGGCATTGGCCAAGGCATCAACATTAGCTAATAGGCCAAACCACTACTAGTGCATAGACGCAATATATATGCAAGTTAAATACCTTTCATTGATGTATTACCTTTATATATATATACATTATATTACCTTTATATACATACATTAAACTTTATTATTAACCACAATCAACCTTTTTCATTGGTACATCACTTATAAATAATATTAACCCAAATCACAAATTTTTCTTCACTTTTATGCAACTATCAATAACAAAACAAGTTTCTAAATATTAGATATATCTAACACTGAAAAAATTATTAGATATATCCTACAATGAAAAAATTATTAGATACCTAACACTGAAAAAATTATTAGATATATCTTGCACTTAAAAAACTATTAGATTCATCTTAGACTGAAAACATTATTAGATACATCTTACACTGAAAATATTATTAGATAAATCTTACACTGAAAAAACTATTAAATATATCTTACACTAAAAACATAATTAGACTATATCTTACACTGAAAAAATTATTAGATAAATCTTACACTGAAAAAATTATTAGATGTATCTTACACTGAAAAAATTATTAGATATATTATACTGAAAAAATTAAACTATGTAACAAATTTTCACTTTTAATCTGTTCCTGGGTTAAAAGCGTGTTTTCCTAACTCGTTACGTCTAGAACAGAAAGGAAATCACTGTTATTCCATAAAAACTTTGCTTTTGTAATAGGGACAATAAAATTTGGAAAATCACATGTTTTTGAGAAAATTCTTAATTTGCTTTCAATGCCGAGCTTTCTCCTATAATATTCTTGAACTGCTAGAGTTGTCAAGATGTTTCTACAATTCTCCTAAACACTCTAGAACATTCGAGAAACTTACAGAACTTTCTAGAACATTTCTAAACATTCCAAAAGTAACTGTACAAGTATAAAAGCATAGACTCGAACCAAGATTCCAATTCATGTTATCGCAGACTGAAAAGATGATGATTTGTAGTTGAAGAGAAGTTATTAATTTGATACGGCATCAAGAGGTTATTTGCATCCAGCTAATTCATTCTGCTACATGTGCGGAAAATTCATAAGGACAAGAGCAAAAAAGTATTCTGCTGAAGCAAGTCATATAATGTCCAAAGCCTACAAGGCATACTTCAGCGTGCCAGTCAGGGACCAAGTTAAATCTTGGGCACCACATTTCACATGCAAATATTGCAAGAAAACACTTGAAAGTAAACTGTTGTAAACTGTTGCTTCTCACTTAGATGTGTTTAAATTTATTTTCATAAAATTTCAATGCTTCAGATCTACTTCATTACTGGTATAAATTCAGATCTACTAGTAAGTAAATAATTACTTCAACCTTTTGAATCTGATAAATCATTTATCAGGTTAAGTTTGGATTATACCAACAAAGTTATGTGTGACTGCAGATGGTGCTAGCATAAACTTTGGTGCTCATATTGGTGCTCTGTCACAGATGCAGCAAAACCGCACATGGTTGATAAAAACCTATTGTATCAATCATAAAATTGAACAGGCAATAAAAGATGCATTTAAAGAAATACCTGATTTTGTACAGATTGACAAGTTTTAAATCAGGTAAATTAGAAGCAGAAGTAGAGCCTCTGCATAATATTCTGTATAATGCACAATTTACCAAAAATGATAAAAAAAAAAAAACAGAAGTCCTCTTTTTTATTATTTTTATTCTGTTAGAAACATGGCTTTTGTTATGGTTAACAAAATTATGCAAACAAACAGAGAAATAAAAAAAACTGTAGCAAAATTGAAAAGTTTATTAAAGTCACTATTATATATATTGTGGGTTTGTATCTTACTTGTGGGTTTATCTTGACTGCTTAGAATTAGCTATTCCTTAAGATTATGGATCAATAAAAACTTTTTCACATTCTCAATCTGAGAAAGTCAGTAGAAATAAGTCTTTTATTTAGGTCTTACAATCACTTACAATCAAGGTCTTACAATAATCAGAGAATTAATTAAGGAGCTGAACATTTTTCATTAAGGCTGATGAAAAGAAGTCTACTAAGCAAAGACAACAGGACTTGCCTGTACTGGACACAAAGAATTTAAAATTTACATTGACTTGTGTAATGATCTAGTTTATTGTAAACTAGTTTGTTTACTTTTAATAAGACTAAAGCATGATACTGTATAATGACAACTGTTTATAGATACTTAAAAAAAACCCTGTTGATACCACTCAGAATGCAAGATTTTTTTAAAAACTTTTAAATGTTGAATGTTTTATTGATTGCTTTTTATTATTTTAAAGTGCGTACCAAGTTTTTTCTAAAGTTTTTTATTTTTTTTTATTAACTATGTAATATATGCAATATTATATAATATATAATGAATATTTTATATATTTTTAAAATAAAAATATTAAAAAATACAAGACAGAAAAACAAACTATTCAACATCATATGGAATAAGAAAAAAAAATTTTCAAATAACCTTAATGACCTTCTCTTTCCCGAAAATCTATATACTATGGGAAAAATGGTGTTGGAACAGTACACAGTTTATTTTATTCTGCATACCTCTAAAATTTTTATAAATTCTTTGACCAAGCAGAAATAACATTACATTTTAAGCCATGCAGAAATAACTTTATAATGGTGGTTATATTTCAAGTTTCTTAACTATCATATTTAACAGTTGTTATGGCTAACGCAATATTACCAAGGCCGTTGTTACTATTACCGCAGAATTATTTTATTAAACATTCCTGTGGCAATTATTGTGATGAACAGGGTAATTATTGTGGTGACTGTGGTAATATTACAATTCCTATTAATGTGTTGCTCTCTACAACAGAACAAAAATAAACTTAAAAACTTACTCAAATTAACTCCTGATAAAAAAGACTCTCCTTGCTGAACCTAAAGAAGCAAATTAATTTTATTAACTGACATCAACATGTACAATCATTATTTCTTGATAACAAAGGTACTTGTTAAAAATAGAAAAAAAAACAGTATTGGAAACTGACATGTATTATCATTAATTTGTACAAATATAATAGCAAATAAATGCATACATCAAAGTCCTGAAGAGGCAAGCATACACCCATACCAATAATGTTTGTCTGAAGAACTAAATCCATTGTCAGATTGAAATTTTCTTGAGACTTTTTTATAAATAAGTGCTCTACGACTGTTGGAAACTACATTGAAAAAAATATTTTTTAATAGATTTAAAATTTTAATAAAAATATGATAGTTGTACAACTTGATTATGCAAAAGTACTATTCTGCTAATCTCTGCTACTCTAAATCAGGATTATTTCCTTGGCTAATCTCTACTACTCTGAATCAAGATTAATCCTTTGGCTAGTCTTTGCTACTCTACTATTCTCAATCAAGATCCTTAGGTTATAGTCTTTAACTAAAAATAAATTTCTTAATCCAAATGTGATTGATGTGTTGTGGAGCATATCTTTAAAAATTTGCAACTTTTACTGTAACTAGAACTGTTTGGATTAATTTAAATAGATCTAAACAATCAGCACACCAATATGTCTTTATCACCTCTATGATTATTATTTGGGATTTAAATGTTCACTAAAAATGTAATTAAATTTTTAAATTAAGTTCTTCAATCATTTAAGTGTATACAATACTTATAACAGTACATAGGAAATACGACTTTTATCTTTGAAGGCAATCAAAAATAATTTTATTGATGTCTATACCTTTAGAAATTGTATGAAAAATTCGTATTTTATTTTTTATTAATTTTTCAAAATGAATTTGAGTTTAAATTAAGATTCGTTTTAATGTCTAAAAATTCATAAACATATTTCAAATAATTTTTATTTTTTAGCTTCAGTGTTTATAGTGGTCTAAATTTGAAACAATTTAATTTGCTTCATACAATTATTAAAAATGCTCAGTACAACTATAAAAAAAAACAAGCAAAACTAATCATTTTATTATAACAGAATAAAATCCTTTTTTACTGATTGAAAAAACTATTTTACTGATTGAACTCTTCTTAACAACTTTTTTACTGATTGAACTCTTCTTAAAAACTTTTTTACTGATTGAACTCTTCTTAAAAACTTTTTTACTGATTGAACTCTTCTTAACAACTTTTTTACTGATTGAACTCTTCTTAAAAACTTTTTTACTGATTGAACTCTTCTTAACAACTTTTAAAAGCAAACTATAATAAAAATTCAATAATAATTCTCTCACATCTGATGAAATTATTTTCCTTTGGTTCTTCCATTGATCAAAACCATTTTTAAAATGCAAGTAGACAAGTACACCTAAAAAAATCATTTAATCCAAGTAAACCTATATTGCTATAATTATAGTTAAAACATTCATGTTGAACATTTTTTTTATTTTAAGTTACCTTTATCGACAGCTGGTAATTTGATAAGGACACGTGGGTGTTCTAAGTTTACCATTATGGTTTCTTTTCGTTTCTCCACACTTTTGTTATCCTTAAAATTGTAAAGTAAAATAATTATACAACATTAATACTTACTGATTCAAACTTAAAATTCAATTGCATTCAACTTTTGTTATAAATTTGTATTAATACATGTATTTATATTATATACATTTTATAAAAGAAAATATACTTAAGAAAATTTATATTAATATATGCATATTATATATACATTTATAAAAGATAATTTACTTAATAAATTTATATTAATACATGCATATTATATATACATTTTATAAAAGATGTACTTAATAAGAATGAGAGAATTTCTAAAAATTAACTTGTTTTCTAGAAACATTCATGTTTGATTTCATTTGTATTTATAAAAATCTTTAAAATAATAGTCATAAATTTAAAACTTTTTCAATTATACTTCTCTAATAGGTCACATTTTGTAGAAAAAATAAAATAACCATATTTTATGAGTCAAATAACTCTTTGTCAATTGTGATATATTTTCTGTTGAAAATTCTCTATTAAACCTAGCATTTTTATTGCTATTTTATATCATTAGTATTTATATCAAAAGTACATTGGAATTCTTTCCTGTTATCCTGATTCATAATTTACAACTTTTTAAAACTTCTTCTGACCGCTTATTGTTTAACTCTCTTCTGTTTTCTGTGAACTTTCGTTTCTGTGAACTTCTGTTTTCTGTGAACTTTTGCTTTCTGTGACCTTTTGTTTGCTGTCAACTTCTGTTTTCTGTGTTGTTTGTTAACTTTTGACTTAATAAGTAGTTGCTTGCAGTTTAGTTGGTAGTGATTTTTCTTTTTGTACTTTTAAAATAATTTTAACAAACTCAACAAGCAAGATGATCCGCCATTAACCAGTATAGAAGTGCATGCTTTATGCACTTCTATGTCCTCCTATCCTAAAATCCAATTCTTAAAAAATAAAAATTTAAAACTTGTTAAACAACTCTTTCTTAAGATTTAATATGTTAAATATTAGTGCATTATTTTGTCTTATTAAGGGACAGCTAAAAATATTAGTAAAAGAAGAAGGAATGTATGCAATGCGAGAATGTTAACTGCAGAAAAAATTTAAAAAAAGAAATATTTGATTAAATAATTGTGTGTGCATGCGCATGTGCGTCAAAAAAATTAGGATCACTGACAAGTAGAGAGGTACTGTAGGTGACAAGTAGAGGTGCCATAAGAACATTTTCCAATCAAAAATTATATTTGGTAACTTTAAAAAAAACACCATCAGCTCCTAAAACTTTTTAACTAATTAAAAAAAGAATTTGCATACTGACTAAAACAAAAACAAATCTTTTTTTAAGGCTCTATAAATTTCATTTAAAGAGCTATTTTGAAAAGTTAATTTAGTATTATATATAAAAGATACAAAATAAACTTACAAGTGTATTAAAAATATTAAGGGTAGTTTTAAAACATGAAGGAAAAAAAACTTACATGTGTATTAACAATGTTGAGAGAAGTCTTGAAACTTGCAAAAACTACAAAATCTTGCTTATCACTATTAATGCACTAAAATTTGAAATGAAAATAAATTACCAAACCATATATATATATATATATATATATATATATATATATATATATATATATATATATATATATATATATATATATATATATATATATATATATATATATATATATATATATATATATATATATATATATATATATATATATATATATATATATATATATACATATATATATATATATATATATATATATATATATATATATATATATATATATATATATATATATATATATATATATATATATCAGGGGCTATTCTAGACCCTTTTCAACAGTATTAAACATTTGGGAAAGTTTTTGGGACCGAGTTCAGAAGTTAAGAACTTTTTTTTCAATTAAAAGATATTGCTTTTTTTATGCAAAAAAATGCCTTTATTCTGTAATGTCTCCCATCAATGTATCCATGCAGTATGAATCCTCAAAGGGAGTACCCTTACGTAAATTATTTTTCTAGAATAGTTCCTATATATATGTATGTATGTATTTGTGTATATATATTAGAGTTATGACTTTTTGATTTTTTAAAAAAAAATTAATTTCCTGTATCATAAATCGATGAACTTTTATTAGAAAACATTGAAATCATGTTCAATTCCTCTTGGTTGTAAAAAAAAGGTTACCCCGCAATTCAAACTACGTTTCGTCATTTATTTAATCCTGTTACTGCTACTACTAATAAGTGTGGCTTTCCTACAAATCATTTAAAATTTGTATTGATTAGAAGTGTATAGAACTTTAGAACATTTTGGAAATTAACAAAATATTTTTGAAGACTTTAGAACATTCTAGAACAATTTAAAACATTCTGGAACATTCTAGAACAATTTAGAACATTCTGAAATATTCTAGATCATTTTAGACTATATATATATATAGCTGCTCATCTAATTTTATAGTTATAATATATATATATATATATATATATATATATATATATATATATATATATATATATATATATATATATATATATATATATATATATATATATATATATATATATATATATATATATATATATATATAGCTGCTCATCTAATTTTATAGTTATAACAGAAGCAACACATGGCGTTGTACAAGGCTAGCAATAGTAGCATTCAGAAGAACAAGGACCAATAATCTGGTAAAAATTTGAAGATTTTCATAAAAAAAAGAAGAATGGTCCCTTTGGAAGAATATTCACTGGAAGAAAAGTGCAGAATGCCTCTCCAAAAGCAAATTATCGGACGCTACCATTTCCTTGGACTAAAAATCAAAGGAAGAAAAGAGCGAATAGCGGAATTTCAAAAGAAGTCACCAAATTGTGGAAGAATAAACTGAATTTTCCTCACGTATCTAATCAAGTTATACAAGAAAAGCTTGATAAAATACTGAAATGTTATAATGAATGTGTCAAGCAGGGAAGCTACGAACCCTTTGATGACATTTTTGAAATTACTAAAGTGGATAGAACATGGTTAACTTCCAACGACAAGCGATTGTACCATCTCGAAGTGGAAAGCAAAGGAACAGTGGGATACTCTACAAACCAAGCAGCCAGTAAAGAAACAATCCATCCCTCTAAAAGACAAAAACTTTCTAATGAGTCATCCAACTCATCATCCTACTATCCTGATTTTAGTGATTTTATGAAAACAATGAAGAAGAAGATAAGACAACTCCTACACCAAGCAGAAAACATCATAAAAGCAAAATTGCAGTCAACTTGGTGACATCCACAAGAGTATCAACAAACAAAGCTGCTAACATATGCAAGCAATTGGCTGATGAAGGCATCAACTTGGGATGTTAATCAGCTATTTATAAGTCAACAATCAAAAAGGTAATTAAGTTAAAGGAAGAAATGATTGAAAAGTTACATATGGAAAGTTGGTCTTTACACTTTGATGGCAAGCACATCAACACATAATGGATTATCAAGTGGTTGTCCTTAAAAATGAAAGAAGAGAAATCAAATTGGATGTCCTTGACTTGGTAGATGGGCAGGACTTTAACTATTGCTCAAAAACTCCTAAAGTTCTTGATGAATTTCACCTATGGAATTCAATAAAGATGATTGTTGCAGATACCACCATCGTTAACACTGGAAAAAAGAATGGTGTTGTTGTAATATTGCAATGAATGTTCACAGAGAAACGCATCAACAAACCTCAGTTTATCACTTGTCAACACCATGTATTAGATAGAATCCTCAATTTGGTAATGGATGAAGAACTTGGAAGTAAAACACAATTGCCAAACATCGAATATTAATTTGTATCTCAACTGTTGAAGGAGTACGAACAACTGAAAACACAGTTTGATAACGGAAAAGAAGTAATTCTCGAAATATCAGGCTGGAGAGATGATATAAAATTTTTTTTTTATCTCACTTGAGTGTTCAAATTTTTTGAGGAAAAGGGACATTTTCTGAAACCTGATCCATTGATCAGGTTTCAGAAAATATCCAAAATCAGCAATGCGAGGTGGAACTCCAGAGCTATACTAGCGATCCTGGCCTTCATTTTAATTCCTTCAACAATAACAGTTCTGCAGAGAGTTGATTTATATTGTATGGCTGGGCAGACCATTGGTTTACAGACCAACTAAACAACGAAAGCGACTTTGATAACTTGGCTGAAATACTGAATCCATACAAAAAGGCTTTAACCTCTTTGAAAAATCACTGGAAGCGAGAGCCATCCATACTACAGATACCCAGAAGTAATCAATGCGCAGAGCACGCAATCAAAGTAATGGAGGAAATTTATTCATCATGCAAAAATAAAGACAAATTGCACCTTCGATTCCTTCTGTGCAACAAGCAAGAGCAAGGTCAATGGTTTGAGTCATTGTTGGATTGAAAATTTATTGTATTACATGACTATGACATTCTAAATACATTTGAATACATAGTAGTACTTATGTCAAAGTCGATTTTTCAATGGCATATATATATATATATATATATATATATATATATATATATATATATTAGCATGCAAAAGTCTTTGGTCGTTATCATTATTGTATTGAAATATTTTGCTTTCTCATGTGAATGTCTCAACTCTGCGTAAAGGCAAGTTGACTGAAAACTGTTTTAACTTAATTTCTTAAGTAGATATTACATAATAATATCTATTATAAAATACAAGTTTTACTACTGAATATAAATAGTAGATAGGTTTTTTTGTGTAATTACTAGGATATATAATTAGGATATATAACTATTAACTTTGATATAAGGATATATAATGTATACTAGGATATGTAACTAGTATACATTATATATCCTTATATCAAAGTTAATAATCCCAATTATATATTTATATACCTTTATAACTATATATTTATATACCTTTATGAATTATATATTTATATACCTTTATGAATTGACCCAGAGACAAATCAACTGTAAATTGAACATTACCATATAACTTTAAAAAAAGGTTCTCTAAAGAAAAAAAGGTTCTCTAAAAAATTGATTGATTAAAAGGTTATTATTAATATATAAGCACAAGTAAAAATTTTAAAAAAAAAACCTTGTTTAATATTAACTTAAACACTTGTTTAATATTATTACAATTATAACCTTATTTAATATAAATGTAGGTACAATCTTGCTTAATACAAATGCAAGTACAACCTTGTTTAATGTAAATGAAAGTATAACCTTATTTAATATAAATGCAAATATAATCTTGTTTAATATAAATGCAAGTATAATTATTTTTTTATGAAAATGCAAGTATAATCTTGCTTAATGTAAATGCAAAGTCCTAGGTCAGGTAAGCTTTAGAATCATTATGATCACCCTGCTATTAGCAGGGTGTTAACCAGGAATAAATTTGATAACCAGGAATAAATTTGATTGAGCGCTTTGACAAAATTGGGAATTCTTCAAAATATTTCCAAATCCCCCTCTCTGAGATTAAAATGTATTCCGGGAATGCGTGGGAACTTTTTCTTATATTCTTTTTTCTTCTATTCCACTGTAGCACTGCATACATTGATTGGACAGCACCAAAAATAGAATAAAATACCGCCTGTAACATATATATTGAAGATAAATATGAAATCAACAAAAAATTAGTTGTAGTTTCACAATGACACTGCAAATTAAGCTCTGATTTCCGAAGAAATATTGAGAATTATATATTTTTATATTATAAAATAATCAGTGTATATTAATTAATTATTAAGAATATTATTTAATTTATTTTTAATTCTAATATATCATTGCTGCTTTCATTTTAAGAGTATTCTTTTGAATATATTTTTCATTTTTAATGTTGGGTATTAAATGGCAATTTTTAAAGTAATACAGCAATATATGTTCAAAATCTCCGGGGAAGAGAAGTAATACAGCAATATATGTTCAATGAAAATCTCCGGGGAAGAGAAGTAATACAGTAATATATGTTCAATGAAAATCTCCGGGGAAGAGAAGTAATACAGCAATATATGTTCAATGAAAATCTCCGGGGAAGAGAAGTAATACAGTAATATATGTTCAATGAAAATCTCCGGGGAAGAGAAGTAATACAGTAATATATGTTCAATGAAAATCTCCGGGGAAGAGAAGTAATACAGTAATATATGTTCAATGAAAATCTCCGGGGAAGAGAAGTAATACAGTAATATATGTTCAATGAAAATCTCCGGGGAAGAGAAGTAATACAGTAATATATGTTCAATGAAAATCTCCGGGGAAGAGAAGTAATACAGTAATATATGTTCAATGAAAATCTCCGGGGAAGAGAAGTAATACAGTAATATATGTTCAATGAAAATCTCCGGGGAAGAGAAGTAATACAGTAATATATGTTCAATGAAAATCTCCGGGGAAGAGAAGTAATACAGTAATATATGTTCAATGAAAATCTCCGGGGAAGAGAAGTAATACAGTAATATATGTTCAATGAAAATCTCCGGGGAAGAGAAGTAATACAGTAATATATGTTCAATGAAAATCTCCGGGGAAGAGAAGTAATACAGTAATATATGTTCAATGAAAATCTCCGGGGAAGAGAAGTAATACAGTAATATATGTTCAATGAAAATCTCCGGGGAAGAGAAGTAATACAGCAATATATGTTCAATGAAAATCTCCAGGGAAGAGAAGTAATACAGTAATATATGTTCAATGAAAATCTCCGGGGAAGAGAAGTAATACAGTAATATATGTTCAATGAAAATCTCCGGGGAAGAGAAGTAATACAGTAATATATGTTCAATGAAAATCTCCGGGGAAGAGAAGTAATACAGTAATATATGTTCAATGAAAATCTCCGGGGAAGAGAAGTAATACAGTAATATATGTTCAATGAAAATCTCCGGGGAAGAGAAGTAATACAGTAATATATGTTCAATGAAAATCTCCGGGGAAGAGAAGTAATACAGTAATATATGTTCAATGAAAATCTCCGGGGAAGAGAAGTAATGATCTTCTACTTCAAATTACTATTTAAATTCTGCTCGACATCCTTTATGGATAGACCCTTACACCATCATGTAATAAATTGTGTCCTCAAAAGAAATATTTTAAAAATAGAAACATAAAAAAGGTTTGAAATTAGCAAACACAAGCTCATAAATTTCATATTTTATATTTATTGAGTTCATTTTTAGAGTTCATTTATAGAGGTAAGCTCATTCATAGTGTTTATTTTCATAATTAATATTAATTTTTTTTACACATAAATCGCATAGCGAAATAAAGTTACAATTACAGATTCTCAGCAAAAACAACAACAAATATCATTTAATTACAAAAAAATATTGTTTGCAAGCGCTTGCACGCTATTGTGGCAACAAAAAAATATCAATAATTATTTTTTCATTTTGTGGTCATAAAATGGTATGAATATGGTTCATTCAAACATTTAAATTTGCTTTTACCTTTTCAATTCAAGCAAGCAGTAAATCCAGTTTTCTTGATTTTGAAATTACTATTGTTTGTTGTAATTAAAAAAAAAAATTCTTGTTATTAAACGTATTTAATTTACGCTTCAATATACGTACTTAATTTACCTTTTAAATAAAAGCAGACAGTAAAGTAAAGAAATCTATTTTCCTCATTAAATAAATTTCTAGTACCATTTTGTTATATTCATAAAACATTTTTTGTATTTAACTTAAATTATAGAGGTGGTCTTTTAAAAAAGTTAGTAGAGAAAAGATAATAGACAATTAAATTTAATTTGCATATTTTGAGAAATGAATTTTATAAGCAAGTTGCAGAGAAAATCCCTAAAATTGCTGAGAAAATTCCAATTCTCAAGAAGTTTTTTTTAAAGAGATATTTTCGCAGTTATGCAATTGCCTAGTTATACCAATAACAGCAATTTCAAGTTTTACACAATTAATAAATTAGAGTTTTTTATGTTATTTTTCTATTAGCTTTTAAAAAAAACTAATAATTTTTAGAATTAATATTAAACTTTATTTGGCAAACTTTATTTTGGAGAATAGGATTTTTCAAATTTAAATTGGGAATTTATATTTTTGAGCATTTGGGAATACCACATTTAACGGGGCCCAACAGGGCTAGTTTACACTCTGACTAGTATCATCTAACCCAGTACTACCTGACCCATGTCCTGCTGCCTTGTAGGGTTTGCATTTTTAAGTAAAGAAATAAACTTAGACTTAAAAGTCCTCTGCCTTGAGGCTCTTGGTTGAGTATCATTTATCTCTTACTTCTTCTTTGGGCTCACCCTACCATATCTTTTCTATTTCCGCTGAATAATGTGCCTTTTACATAAGTTCCTGGATTCAGACAGGTATGAAAGCTTTTATTCCTTCTCATCGGTACTTTATGGTTTTCACCTTCTTGTGCAGTTGCTATATCTAATTGTAATAATTTTTTCATCTTTTTCAAAAGAACAACACTCTTGAGAAAATGCTTTTTTATTTTAGCAAGATATCAATGAAAAAAGTGCTGTCTGATGCTAACCTCCATTACTTCAAATTTACTAAATCTCGTATCTTATCTCAGAAGTTAGACTCTTGAGACTTTTAGAAAATCTTCAAATGTCATCAACAAAGGTAAGTCAAACACTCTCAAATTTATAGGCCTGATCTTATTACCTCTTCCAAGGATAAGGTTGAACTATTTGCAAAGAACTTTTATTTTAAATAAACTCTTAAATCTAATGGCTATACTCTTCTTGAAATTCCATTTAAACAGGTTAACCCATTGTTAGACATCCAAATTACTCCGGCTTCAATTGCTGAAGCAATTTCTCAATTAAACTCTTCTACGGCTTGCGATCTAAACAACATTTCTGTCAACGTCTTGCAATTTGTTCTTCAGAACTCCTTAATTCTTTTTAAACTATTTAATAAGTGCTATACTGAAACTTGTTTTCCTGCCTGCTGGAAAATGGTATCTGTGCATTTCGATTTTTTCTTTTAATTCTGAAAAACATTCTAACTCCTCCAACTATGGAGGAGTTAGAATGTTTTCCAGATCAAAGAAGAGATTCAACTATTGAATCTCTTCTTTGATCGTCTTCTCTTTATTACTAGCAAGGTCTTTGTGTATTTGATCAACAAATTTCTAACATCCCATCTTGAGTCTAATGACTTTCTCTCTGATAATCAATATGGTTTTTGATAGCTGACTTGCTAACTGCTATAACTGAAAGATTCTACCAAGCATTAGATGGAGGCAGTAAGGCAAGGGCTTTTGCTCTTGATATATCTAAAGCTTTTGATAAAGTTTAAGGATCTATTCTTGTTCCTCTGTTATTTCTTATCTACATTAATGATCTTTCTGACAATCTTAAATCTAAAGTGGCTCTATTTGCTGACAACTCAACTTATTTGAGAAACCTGTTTTGAGAAAAAGTCTTCTCTATTAATCACTTAAAACAGGCAGCTGATCTTGAATCTTATCTCACTTTTGTAACAGTTTAAGGCTTGCAGTCGTAGGTGAACTTTATCTGGTAAAGCTGCTCCTTTTTATCATGCTAGCCATTATTTTACTCCTTATTCATTATTTTACTCCTTATTCATTATTTTACTCCTTATTCATTATTTTACTCCTTATTCATTATTTTACTCCTTATTCATTATTTTACTCCTTATTCATTATTTTACTCCTTATTCATTATTTTACTCCTTATTCATTATTTTACTCCTTATTCATTATTTTACTCCTTATTCATTATTTTACTCCTTATTCATTATTTTACTCCTTATTCATTATTTTACTCCTTATTCATTATTTTACTCCTTATTCATTATTTTACTCCTTATTCATTATTTTACTCCTTATTCTATTTTCTACCTATACAAAACTCTTATCCATATACAGTTGTCATATTTGGGCTGGTTTTTCTAATAATGCTCTTTTTGCTTATTGACGAAAAAATGCATTGTAAACATAGTTGGAACTGCTCTATCTGTCAAGCTAGTGCCACTCTCCTACTGTAGAAAGGTTGCACCTCTTTCTCTTTTCTATAAATACTATCATGGTCACTCCTCAAAGAAGCTATCATCTCTAGTGTGAGACCTGACTTATCATTCAGCAAATTCACATCCTTTGACTGTAACTGTCCCTGCATGCTATCAAAACTTCATATTTGTCTTGTTTTTTTCCCCGCATATCAATCCTGTGAAACTCTTTCAATTTCATGTTTTCCTGACTCATACAATCTACAACTCTTCTGCCAGTTGCTTCCTTGCTCTTTAACTCTATTTTTTTTTTTTTAGTAACTCTCAACTCAATAGTGGTGGCTTGCAGTCTTGTTGGGAGTAAATTTAATTAAAAATAAAAAAAATATAAATATAATCTTGTTTAATGTAAATATAAGTATAACGTTATTTAATGTAAATGCAAGTATAACATTATTTAATGCAAATATATTATGCATCACAGAAACGAAATTTTAAAAAACCTTGAGGAAAGTGAAGCACTGATGCTGAAGGATTCTGGTTCGAAAACTCCACTGATATAACACCTGTTTTCAAAACAACTGCTGTACCTGAAGGAATAGAAGCCATCACTCGAATAAGCTAAAAGTAATATATTGATTTATTTTATAACAATATTTTTTTATATAAATATAAAAGTATATATATATATATATATAAAATATATAATATATATATATATATTATATAATATATATATATATATATATATATATATATATATATATATATATTATATAATATATATATATAATATATATATAAATATATATAAAATATATATATATATATATATATATATATATATATATATATATATATATATATATATATATATATATATATATATATATATATAAAGCTAGTTAACGGTTGTTTTTTGAAATTGTTTTTTTGTGTGTGGTAGTGTTTGTATAATAAAACATTTTGGCAGAAAAAAATAATTAAAAATATTATTTAGTGTCAAAATGTCAACCGAGCAAACTAAACAAAGATTTTTGATTGTGGACAAACACTTAAAAAATCCAACTTTATCGAGTAGAAAGTTAGCGAAATCATTAAAAATATCAAGAAGAACTGTAGATACTGTTCTTAAACGGTTTAAAAAAACGCACAGCAAATCCTAGAGCTCTCGAACTGTTGGAGACATCATTGGAAGAACATCCTGATTGGTCTGATAGATTTCGAGCAAAAAAACTGAAGGTTTCCAGTTTTTTTGTACACAAATGGCGACAGAGACTTGGATATCAAAGTTTAAAGTAGTTAAAATGCCAAATCGCAACGATAAACAAAATTCAACCATAAAGAGTTGAGCTCGATAGTTGTGTGACAACTTGTTAACAAAACATAATGGATGCATTTTGATGGATGACGAAACTTATGTTAAAATGAATTTTAAACAAATTCCTGGGCAGTGCTACTATGCTTCTAAAATAAGAAGAAATGTGAGTGATAAATATAAGTATGTAATGACTGATAAATTTTCGAAAAAATTGATGATTTGGCAGGCACTTTGCTCTTGCGGCAAAAAATTGCCAAATCATGTTTGTTTGGGCACAATGAAATCTTCGGAATACATGAAATGTTGTCTTTATCTGGTAAAGCTGCTCCTTTTTATCATGCTAGCCATTATTTTACTCCTTATTCATATATATATATATATATATATATATATATATATATATATATATATATATATATATATATATATATATATATATTATATATATATATATATATATATATATATATATATATATATATATATATATATATATATATATATGTATATATATATATGTATATATATATATATATATGTATATATATATGTATATATATATATGTATATATATATATATACATATATATATATATATGTATATATATATATATATATATGTATATATATATATATATATATATATATATATATATATATATATATATATATATATATATATATATATATATATATATATAAATTACAAATTAGTAGAAAATCACTTAGCAAAATTTTTTCTCATTTAACACTGTGTTTCATCATTAAAGACTCATCAGAAATGAATGATCAAATTAATAAAACTTTAATTTATACCAAAAATAAAATACTTTTTGGTATAAATTGAAGTTTTATTAATTTGATCATTCATTTCTGATGAGTCTTTATTGATGAAACACAGTGTTAAATGAGAAAAAATTTTGCTAAGTGATTTTCTACTAATTTGTAATTGCTCTGTTCTTTTAAGAACATTGAACACTCTTTTTGTAGAATACATTTTAAATTGTTTAAATATATATATATATATATATATATATATATATATATATATATATATATATATATATATATATATATATATATATATATATATATATATATATATATATATATATATATATATATATACAGGCCTTGTTACGAGATTTCGCTGTGTAATGGAAAAGCAAAACGTGAATAAATGTAACTTTACTCAATAAAGATATTTACACTGTTAAAAGTTAAATTATGTGAGTTGCGTTTTTACTTCATTGTAATTAAATTTAAAATACACTAAAAACTGTTAGTCTTTGAAACGAAATAGCTTTAAATTGAACATTATTGTTATAAAAAAAAACAACTAAAGTTTTAATGTTGATTAAAAAAAAGTCTTCTTGTATATTCTTATTGAAATATTAATTTTTTTAAAATATACTTATTGAAACTTAATTTTTTTGCTTTCAAACATTCGTTTTATGATTGCTTTTTTTTAAATATTTTTTTTTAAATAATTTAAATTTAACACTTGTTTATGGTTGATTTTCTTAAAGGGATTTAAATGTACTTAACACTAAACGCATAGATTGGGATTTTCACTTTTTAAAAAAACGTTTGCACTAACTGGTTTTGATAAAATAAATATTGTAAAGAAACGAAATTTACTGCTTTTCGGCTTTGTTTTTTTTTTTTTATTTCTATTAAAATATTTTATTTTTATGTACAGTGAAACCTTATGTATTTTTTATATTTTTTTACTCAATCCAAAAAAAAAAAAAAAATTGTGTTTTTGGTTTTAAGATGTTATAAGCAGAATTTGTTTTTAAGAAATATCATTATAATTTTGAAATTTATGTTTATTTTGAAATTTATCTTATATCTTATAGCCCTAGTACTAGTTTTGTTTTTAAAATAAAATAAATATAAGTTGGGTTTTTAAAGAGTTTATTTCCTGGTTTTTTTAATAGGTTTGAATTTTGGTTTGTTTTATAAAAAAAATTCTTTGGCAAACGGCTAAGGGAAAACTCAAACATAACATTTATAACTCGAGTTTAAAAGAACTTTTTTGTATTGACGTTATTTATTAACTTGTAGTTATTAAATGAATAATGCGCTTCTGTAAATAATGAATGAAACTGTAAAATAATGGAAAATTAAAAACTGGAAAATAATGCGCTTTTGTTCAGCGCATTATTCAGACCAGTATTTGGAACTGAAACTTAACTGAAACTAAAATAAAGTTATATGTAATACAAACACTTTAAAGTAACTTGAATTAAATTTATTAAACCTTTTTTTACTTTGGAAATTTTATCATAAAAAAAAAATTGTAAAACGAAGCATTTTAAAATTAAAAAATTTTAAAATGCTTTGTTTTAAAATTAAATGAAAGAATTTTAATCAAATTTAATAAATTTATTTACTAAAAACTATGATTAATAAAAAAAATATTTAAATTTAATAAAATAAATTGAAAATATTTTTTTTTTAATTTGAATGTTTTTAAACTTATGAAATATAAATCTTAATATTAAATATGATAAAAAGTTTAAACTTAAAACACTTATTTTTTTTAAACTTATTTTTAACAACAACAACAATAAAAATAATTAAACAAATTTTTCTTTAACAAAAAATCTATTAGTTTACAATTGCAGTTAAATGCTTTTACTTACGACTTTATTTTCTTCTGAATAAACGTCACATAAACGATATCAAATGATATCGTTCATTTAAATGATAATGCATGCTCAGTCTGAAATCAGTCAGGGTAGAGACATGTGCTAAAACGAACATTTGGTTCTTTCTCAATGGTAGTTTGCTCTTCAATAGAATGTTTTTCTTGCAGCTTTAAACAACCAATTCAGCAGATTAAGTAATAACAAATTGCGCCTCTTGTTTCAGATCTTCCTTGCATTGAATTGAAATTAAACAAAGTAGGGAGTATAACTTCTTTTCCTTTTGACTAATGCGCAAAATTATTCTATACCATTTGCAAAGCCCTTATGGTAGCCATAGAATCACTGATATTGATCTTTATCTCGTACAGTTAGAATATTTAATCTGCTTGGAAAGCAGTAAGCTGATTTAACTATTTTTTCAGACTGAGCATGCACTAAGATTAAGATTCAAATGATATCCTTCATTTAAATATTCTAAAAGATTTAAGTTTTTGCTTAACGCAAAACTGCTGAATTCGTAGGCAAATCGCTTTTTTGCAGGTAAAATGCGAGCTACGTAACGATTCTTAACAAGGCCTATATATATATATATATATATATATATATATATATATATATATATATATATATATATATATATATATATATATATATATATATATATATATATATATATATATATATATATATATATATATATATATATATATATACATTTATATATATATATATATATATATATATATATATATATATATATATATATATATATATATATATATATGTATGTATATATACTCTTGCATGTCTCTTGCGTAGCATCAAAAAATATTTCCCATAAACTGTAGTTTTAAAGAGCGCGTTAATAAACCAGACCAGAAAAAGTTTTAAAAATTAAATTTTTTTTTTTAATTGATAGACTGCCTGGCCAAACCAAACCCTCAGTCGATGTAGCAGCACTCTCTTGCGAGTCAGGCTATTTGTCAGTCGTTGTAGCAGCACTCCCTTGCGAGTCAGGCTATTTGTCAGTCGATGTAGCAGCATTCCCTTGCGAGTCAGGCTATTTGTCAGTCGATGTAGCAGCACTCCGTTGCGAGTCAGGCTATAAGATAGTCGATGTAGCAACATTTACGCATGTTTAAAAAATGTTTTTTATTAAATCAATAACAAAAACACCACTAATTAAAAAAAACTTTCTAGTCGTTATAATTGCGGTTTTTTAAAAAATTTTTTAAAAAACAATTAAATTTAATGTACTTCCGCATAAATTAATTGCTTTGACATTTCGATGACAATCAAAAACAGCTTAAGAGACGAGGTAATTAAAATTGTAGTCGTAAGAGACTTTTTTTACATTAAAATGCTCTTAAAGCGACACTATATGAGTATATATATATATATATATATATATATATATATATATATATATATATATATATATATATATATATATATATATATATATATATATATATATATATATATTATAACAACAAATAACTAAACAGTCACATAAAATTATATATAAAATAAGTAATAATAATAAAAATATCATACAGATATTTTTAGTTGAATTGAGTAGATTAATGGATTTTGAGGCAAAACTTCTTCATAAGAACTAAACCAGAGTGGAATTGGTTCATTTTCTTCTACATCTTGCACAACTTCATTTACTTCCTGTAAAACAAATAATAAAATGACATTTAAGAAATCTCAACACATCAAGAATTACTAGAAATTCATCAAATACCTTGATAAAACCTTTTTGTAAAAATATCAAATGATTCATCAAGTCTGTTGTTAAATTCAGTTCAAGAGGTCCAATATTTATGCCTATAGAAAGGTAGCCATGACCATTAAAATATGTTGAATTGTCGCTTGAAACATTTTTAGAAATCTGTATATAGTGTCCATCAATACTTATTGCAGGCAAGAAGATATGAGTTGATGCAGGAAGTGGTACTATCTGATTCTGAAAAAAAGGTTAAAAAACAAAACAATCATTACTTCTTAACTATTGTTTTTTTTAAAACGAATATTAAAAACATTTAAAAATATTGCAATTATTAAATCTAAAACCAATATTACTTTTGTCTTGAAAGATAGATAATGTTGAGGCAAATCTAATGCAAATTTGATCTTTCCATTAAAATTTCCAAAACCACTAATTTGCTCGATCTATGAAGAGAAACTCTATAGTAAATAAAGTGCCATGCACTATTAATAATTGAGGTTTTTATTATTTATAAACATAAAACATGAATAAAGTACCTAATAATATTATACAAAAAAAAACATCATTACCACCAAATTAAACTCAAATTTAACTCCAAATTTAACTCTAAAACTAATTTAGCTCTTTCATGAATCTCAGTGTATTTTGAATTAAGTATGCCTTGATTCAAAAGAACTCTACTCACATGCCTGGCCTGGGTATAAGCCAGGGTATGGTTATTCACATGCTTGGCCTGGGCATAAGCCAGGGTATGGTTATTCATATGTTTGGCCTGGGTTTAAGCCAGGATAGGGTTATTCACATATTTGTTGATAAACTAAGTTTAAATACTTTGACTATTCTCTTATAAGTTCTTGTTTAGAATTAATCAACTTTTTTTTTTTTTGTTATTGTCCTTTTTTTTTTATTGTTTTCCAAAGACTAAACTTTATTTGATATTGTTTCTGTTTTCTTCCTAGCTAATAATATATCAACTGTTATTATTACCACTGACCTTGCAGGTAGCTAAAAAATCTTTCTCAGTCTTTTACTCAGATAGATAACTTTGTGACTGGTTTTTTGGTCAACCCTAATCTTATCAGATTAATCAAAGCATCCATTAATTCAAAATATTTTTTGTATATATATATATATATTTGGCAACAATTGATGTTGTCATATGGAGGTAATACTTAACTTACAAAAGGATATGGCAAACAGTAGTTTAGTATGCACTTAAAAACATTAAAAGTAATTTAAATTATATACAAATAAAATTATTTACATTTAATAAGCATTAATACCTTATACTCAACTTTCAGTGAAGGCAAAAGAGTTGCACTCACAAGAATACTACAAGTTGAAAAGCGAAACAATGAATGAGTGTTAGAAGATGCCAATGAATCTTTCATATTGTTCTCATTATGATCAGATGATGAGTGTTGTGATTCTCTATCAATTATGAATAACATCACAAATTACAATATTTAAAATTATATTTATTTTACCCAGTTATTATTATCCTAAAGTAGATAAATAATAATTTTAAGAAACAAATCAGTTTTAATGTTAATATGTTTTAGTAAACTAATGCTGGTCCAAAATTTTTTTTAACCTTAATTAAAGTAAAAAACAGTTACTATGGAAACTATATTTACTATGAATTTACAAATCAATACCAACATCATCATCATCATCATCATCATCATCATCATCATCATCATCATCATCATCATCATCATCATCATCATCATCATCATCATCATCATCATCATCATCATCATCATCATTTTTATCACAATCATCATCATCATCAACATCATCATCATCATCATTGTCTTCATTATCATCATCATTGCCATCATCTTCATCAAGTTGCATTAGTTGGACATTTCTTATAATGTAATTTCTTCAGTATACACAACTTGAGGATCTTCTTTCCTCAACCAAAATCTTAACATGTCACCTGTATCACAATTTCTAAGTTTTCTTGCTTCTACTTTTACCTACTTCTTCCTAAACTACTAATTCTCTATGAAAAGATTATCATCATCATTGCCATCATCATCATTGCCATCATCATCATCATGTTGCATTAGTTAGAAATTACTTATGTCATTTCCCCAATATACACAACTTGAGGATCTTCTTTCCTTAACTAAAACCTTTCTATGTCACCTGTATCACAATTCCCGAGTTTTCTTGCTTTTACTTTTTATCGATTTCTTTCTAAACTATTAATTCTCAAAAGGAAGACTAAGTGGTTTGGTCATTTGCATACCCAGAACACTTAACATTCCTTTATGCACCCAAATACACTATTCCAAATCTCTATCTAAGATTATCAACTTATTTCTAAACTTTTAGAGTCATACAGCACATTCCTATGACCATCATCTTTTCTAAGATGCTGGACATCAACAACCTTCATTGAACATGTTTCACTACTATACCTCATAACATTCTAGATACATGTAGCGTACAACTTTTCTGTATTCAATCTTTTTCTTCAATTGAGTAAAGTAAAAATCTCTTAAATAACTTAGTAATCTTCTAAAATAAAATTTGTCAACTATTGCTCAGAAAACCTTTCAAATCAGTAAATCCACCACTTTCTAATATACTTTCTATATGTACTTTCTATATATAATATTTCTAATAAACCCTGACCCTAACCCTGCAAATCCACCACTTTCTAATCTACCTACAAATCTACCACTTTCTAATCTACCAGTAAATCCACCACTTTCTTATCTACCAGCAAATCCACCACTTTTTAATCTACCAGCAAATCCACCACTTTCTAATCTACCAGCAAATCCACCACATTAACTTTCTAATCTAGCAGCGAATCCACTACACTACCTTTCTAATCTACCAGCAAATCCACCACACTACCTTTCTAATCTACCAGCAACTCCACAACACTATCTCTCATTGTGTCTTTTCAAGGTCTACAAATGCACATTCAATTCACATTTAACAAAATTCACATTCAACAAAAACTTATTTTGTTGAAAATAAATCCTTTTAAAATTTTCATTTCCTGTTCAAACAATTTTATTTCTTAATATGAGCACATTTTAGTGTATCTCTGCCTTTTTTAAAAACCTTTATTAATTTTCTTTTTGGTGTTTTACCTTGATGTTAAGTAGAGTGAATATTTTTTGGTTGTTTATATCGTCATGTCCAAAAAAAACAAAAAATATATTTTTTTTGCCTCAGATCCCCTATATTGCTGGGCCTTGTTAAATTACACAACACATTTTAAAAAAAAAATCCTTTTAAATAAATTTCAAAATATATTGAATTGTAGTAATTAATCAGAAAGTTAAGTTTAAAACTCTATAATTCTAACTTGTTAACAAATTTGAAACTATATTGCAGTTATTGATATATTAATGTAGAAAATTATGTGCTAATTATAGAAATTATGTTTACATTATTTGTATCTAAAAATGATGATGACAACTATAACACATAAAAAAAATACCTAATTGACATTTTGTATCGCTCAAACTCAGTAAAATATTTGTGCAGCTTTTTATTAAAGTGATTTGAGACAAATAATATAGTTCCAGGATGTTGAGGAATTTCAACTGCAATAGGTCCAACATTCAATAGTGTCTTCAGTTTAGACTTAGCGTTTTCACATTTTATTTCATTATATATTCCATTGGTTTTGTAGATTTTCCCAGTCATCAGTACCCTTAGTAAAAAAAAGAAAAACTATATAAAATATTTTTATTTCATTTTAAACATTATTGTAAGGAATTTAATGAAATTAAAAAAAAAAATAACGCTCAATAACTTTTTTGACACTTAAAAAAATATTTGAAATGATCAAGTTTGTTATATTAACATTAAATAAATTACCTTAATAAAAAAAAAAAGAGTGTATAACTTTTATGAAATAACAACAATTATTTCATTTCTGCAATAATGTAGGTCATAACAACATTTTTTTAAAATTATATTCTCACACCCTCTGTATGTGATCTATCTAGTAAAATAACACTAAATTATATTCTCACACCCTCTGTATGTGATCTATCTAGTAAAATACTAAATTAAAGAAATTTTGAAATTTTTAGGAGTTAAATCTTGGAAGATTTGAATCAATTTCTTCAAAAGTATGTACTAGGTTTCAAACGAAAAAAAAAATTACATAAAAATTTAAAAATTATTAATTATTTAATTATTTTTTTATAATATTTTTAAAATTAAAAATATTTTAATGAATTTATAAATAAATATAATTTTACTTCACTGGTATTAAAATCTATCGGTAGTTTTTTCATATTTGATTTTACATTTGATTTTATTTTGACATGGACAAAGTTTTTTTAAAATTTATTGCTCTTTGTGTTTTAGTATTCAACATATGCCAAGAATAGGAAAACAGGTCACCCTGCTACAGGTACAGGTCATCCTGCAATTTTTAACATGTAAAACAACCTGCTTCATATTCATATTCATCATAAAAATCGGGTGCTCCTTACCAATGGCTCTGCATCTACAGTTGTTTAAATCACATACTCTCATATGTAACATTCACTGATATATTACATAATTTTTTGTTTCATTTAAGTTTTTGTTACTTTTGTTAGTGTTTTTATAAAAACACACATCAATGTATGAATTAGGGTTTGCAAAAACCCAGAAAATTTCTTTTCCCAGGATTCGTGATTGTATTATTAATTTCCGGAATTTCCCGGGAAATCTCAGCATTATTTTTTGCTTTAAAACTAAAAGAAAATTCATAATTTGATTAAGTATATTGCAGTAAAATGAAATAAAACTTATACATAAAGTTCTTTATTTGGTCTTTAGAAAATAAGCTTGCAGAAAGCTCAAGGTCAGCTTAAGGAAAATGCCTTTTCTGTCTCTATGCTTGTTGGTTTAATCATCATTAAAAAATCATAAACTTTCTGAAGACCATCACCCCCAAGTACAACCACTTTCAAACAATGACATTTCTTTCAATAATTTAGAAGTAAAAGTTTTGCCTAATCTTAACAAAGAATTTCTGGATGTTACTAGAAAACCTTTTTCTAGGGCTTCATTTAGTTGCTCAATAATAGTTTTCGGCATTTCATTATATGTGCTTTTCAGTATTTCATAACTTCTTGAGTTACTAAATCTTCAAAATTGTTCAAGAATATTTTAGTGTGATTTAAATTTGTTACATTTAATCTATTTAGAAGCTTCAACATTATTTTTTTATTCTTAAAATTTAAAGATGTTTCAAAAATTTCACCTACAGGCATTAATTTGTTTTTTCGGTAATCTAGTGCAGTAGACAACTTAATTCAGTCCTGCTCTCTTTGATTCTGGAGGCTAACGAATTAAAAAGCTGAAAACTTGTTGAAGTATTCGGTTCTTTTAATTTAGTAAGCATAAACTCTAATGCAATGTCAGCAGTTATAAGGTTTGCATCGTGTCGACAAAGTGCTTCCACTGCTGTTTTACTGGAATTAGCACATTTATTAGTTCAGAAACAATTTCATACTCATTATCTGTCATTTTTATAGAATCATTAATACTGATAATATTGATCAACAAGTGCCTTTTTTATGCAATTTTTTAACTTATGAAACCTTTCAGGCATTGATAGTAGGCTGCTCTATCTTGTTTTTTTCAATCTTTGATTAAATGACATTTTAAACGTATTTTTGAAGACAGTCATCATTTGATTAAAAGTCATTTTATACGTATTTTTGAAGACAGTCATCATTTTTAGTTGCGATCTTTTAAAAACCATCATGATTTTTCTAACTTTATTAATCACTGGACCAATCGCATTGATTGCAATTATTACGTTTTCAATTATTTGATTATCCACTATAAAGCAACTCTCATCACCATCATCATTGCTATCTGATTCACAGCTTTCACTAAATTCAGACTCATTTTCCAAATTTTCTATGCGACCATCAATTTCTTCGAATGCCTCTGCATAAAATTTTATGCTGACGTATTATATAAAACTGAAATAATAGCCAGTTAAATACCGTGAGAAAAGCATAGCTGTTGATTAACTTGTAATAGTTTTCCAATTATTTTCATTATGCTGGCTGTCTGTCATTATATACACAATACTATTTTCAAGATTTAAACCAAATGTTGAGAGTTTTTTTTTTAAGTAAAATTACACACTTTTCAGCTGGCATTGTTCTACAATCCTTACTAAACCTAAATTCTAAAAATTGTCTCTATCATGTAAATTGATATTCAAATAATGGGTTTTTCGAATCAACGTCCACTCATCAAAAGAAATTAAAAACTTAGTTCCCTGTTAACTTTATGTCCTAATTCATTTTTCATAACATTCTTTATATTGTTAGGGAAATCTAGTGTTTTATTTTAACAGTGTTTGGAGATTTAGATATGTTGACAAATCCCCTCATAGCCAGCCCAGCACGTATGTTATTAGAAGTGCATACTATGTAAAATCCCATCTTTAGCTGTTAATCTTTCAAGCTCCTTATAGAAGCTGCCTTTTTTCTTTATATTCAATGAAAAATATGAAATAATTTCACTTTACTGAGTGGTTCTTCTTTTGAAGTCAGAGAACATGCCAGTTCTGTTTTTAAATTTATTTTATGCAGCTGAAGTAGATACGAATGAAGAGCTTTTGTTGATCTGCCAGTAATTTTCAATATTTTTTTGCAATGGCTTAGTTTACACATTGCTGTTTCACTTTCTTTGTTGTGCAGAAAATGTTTCCATATAGGGGTTTTGCTGTTGAACTCTATGAAATTTGACATAGTATCCTAATTTGACGAATTAAAGAAAATATAAGAATTTATTAACTATTTTAACTTTCTTATTAAGGTGAACTTTTAAAGTTCAATAAATTTAAATACACTCTATTATTATAAAAACACAATATAAATCAATACAAATAAATTTTTAATTATTGTTATTATTATTTTTATTATTTATATTATTGTTATAACTTAGTTTTAATAATTAAAACTAGTTTCATACTATTTTCTGATAAACACGCCATATTGTTCACAATATATAAGATTGATTAAACTTTAAACTTATAAATCAATAATGAAAACATTGCATTGCATTTTAAAACTTTGTTGTTACTTTTGTTTTATTTGACACAATTTAAACACGGGTATTGCTCAGAAAATGCAGGTATTAATCATAGTTTTATAATTTCTAAATCCTGTGATATTGTTAAAATAATCCCGGGAACTTGGGGTTATAAAACTAGGCGGGATCCTGGGATTTCAGGATCCTGGGATTGTAAACCCTAGTATGCATGTATGTATGCATTAAAATAAATTTTTACCTTGATAGCTTAGGAGAATTTGGTGCACATCTGTAATAAAAAATGGATAAATTTTTTTTTTCAATAAAAATTACAAGGTGAGAATATTTCTGATAAACATTAAAAAAAAAAAGAAAAAAAAAATTAAAATAAACTATATAAGATAAAAAAATATCTTGACAAAAAAATATTTTTAAATACTATTACTTTCTATTTTTTAGGGGAGGTGTTAAAGATGAAAAAAAAACAATACTTTTTAAAAAAAGAGTCTAATAGACAGATTTTTGTTTCCTCCATATGAACAGTCAAAGTAGTGATAGCTTCATTGAGGCTAGTTCCTAATTAAAATCAGTACAAAATGATTGAATATCTATCTACATTATTAAAAAAATAAAAAAGCAAGTTGCAATTTATAATAAAATTGATTTTAATAGGATTACTCAAAATAAATTTACCATTTTGTTGTGAGGCAGTAAACAACTCATTAGCTGATTTTGTCTTTTTTGAATGATAAAGTGATCCATTTAACTGTTGCATATCAAGTGAAAATTCCAAACCACTCATACTAGCAGTGCAGCTAGCATTATGTAAACAAAAAGTTCCAGAGATTGTCACATTATCGAGTGGTAAATCTTTTTGACTTGATTCTGAAACCTTTTCATCATGAACAAAAATAACATCTTGTTTGACAGGGTTTATGTTTTCTCCTATTTTTTATTTAATAAAAATAATACAAACAATTTTTTAAAACAATAAATTATTTGCTGTAATTGTAAAATTTTATAACTAAATTAAAAAAAAAAAATTTTTAATTTAGTTAAAAAATTTTAAATTTAAAGAAAAGGTTCATTGCAGTCAAATTTTTTTAGATATTTGTATAATTTTCCTGAGAACATCTTTTTATTATTTTAAGGAATTTAAATATCATTATTATCAGATTGCTAAACCCCATATTTCATAGATAAAGCTAAAAAATTAACTTCTCTTAAAAAATTAATTTTTTTAAAATTGGTTCATATTACCAAGTTTAATCAATTTAACTTTAGTTAAATTGGTTAAACTTGGTAATATGAACCAATTAAATTTAAAATTTAGTCTAATCATTTTAACTTTAAAAACTCAGAGAACAAATGTAATAGTGAACATGACCAAATATTGTTAAAACTTACTCATTGTAGAAGAGCTCTTTTTGGGTATGTAAAGATTAATAACATTATACATGTTGCGCCAACATTTTGATGCGTGCATTTCATGTTGTTGTTCAACTGACAAAGTAGAAAAAACATCTCGATTTGGCTGAAAAATAAACTTTTCAGCAAATTTTTTTTGTTCTAAGAAAACGTTACAAGTTTCACTTATTTGCAAAACCAATCGAACAAGTGGAAAATCAAAATGTTGTTTCAGATCATTTACATTTACAGCAAATGTGTGATTATATTGAGATGACATATTGCTTTTCATTGAATCTGAAGAGATATAAAACTTGGAATCAAATATTTCTAAGGTTGTCGTAGATTCTTTAGTCTTTTTGATTTCAGATTCAATTAAACTAATTGAAACTTTATTTGTTTGGAAGACAAATTTTTTATGTGAACGCGATGGTAAATGTTTTTTGGCGACAAGACCTACTACACTAAGTAAAGCTGAAAAAACATCAGCTGCTTCAGCTAGCTGCACTCCACTTGTTGGAAAACTTACCATTTGAGAAACAGATTGAAGTTTTTCAAGTTCAATAGTTTTTTCTAAAAAAAAAAACAAAGACATTTCACAATAAAAACACTTTCATTGAATTTAATAAGATAAAAATAATAAACTTTTAGACAACCTAAAAAAAAATTACCTTTTATGAGATTAAGTTGCTTAATATTATCTACATTTTCTTTTTGTTTGTTAAAAGAACGCACAGAGGCTGGGGATCTTGACATCCAATCGTAAAGACTTTGCTCTTTTTCTTTTAAATTTTCTGGTTCAGTTTCTGAGTCACTGTCAAGTAAAGGTTCATCTTCCATTTGCAAAGTTGAACCTTTTTGATCATTTGGTGGGTTAACAGCTGCTAAAAATACAAATAATGATTGAAAACATATTGCTTAAAATTTTAATAAACACAGTTCATAACTTTAAAATTTTTTTTTATCTTGCCAGAATTCAGTGCTGTTTTTTTTTCATTAAGAAGTAGACGCAAGTCTTTCTGTGTTAGAACTCCTCGACCAACAACAGGTTTTCTAATATTAGATTTCTTTACAGCAAATATATTCTCAAAATCTTCTGCGCCAATAAATATGCACTTCCATTGTCGAGAAAGAGCTTGCATACCTAAATCAAAATGTTGCAGAGTATATACTCACTTTAAAAGAACTATAATATATGTTTAAGCTACTAACGGTGGAGAATTGTTTGACATATTTTTTGTAAAAAAAAAATTTAGTTAAATTTATGAATAGACTTAATAATTAAACTTATTTCAATAAGTAAACAACTTTTTTAATAAAACTTTCATATGCATACCTAATTCTAAATCTTTTAAACCAGGACAATGACTTGGTTTCTTTAGTGTTTGCAATAGATTTTCTAGTCTTTGACCAGTTGTATGTCTTCTTAAAACACTAATCAGTTGGCTAGAATAATCACTTTGCAGGAATGATGACTCTTCACTTACAGCAGAAATAATGCAAAAATGCTAAATACCCAAACATTTTAAATATATTTCTGAATTAAAAACCATTAAAAAAGTTTAAATTTAAATTAATTTTTTTCTTTAACTTGGAGCAAATAACTAGAAAGTAGCAAGTATTTTAAAATAATTCTATATAATTTAAAAATAATTTCTACATAAGTCTATATAATACAAATATTTATTCAACATATGTTTATATAAAAAGACTTTTACTTATTGAACAAAAAAGAGGTTGTATATAGGTAACTCTGAATAAGTTGTAGAGAAAAGAGGTTTTATATAGGTAACTCTGAATAAGTTGTAGAGAAAAGAGGTTGTATATAGGTAACTCTAAATAAGTTGTAGAGAAAAGAGGTTGTATATAGGTAACTCTGAATAAGTTGTAGAGAAAAGAGGTTGTATATAGGTAACTCTGAATAAGTTGTAGAGAAGAATTAAACAAAACAGCAATAAAACAGATTAGAAAAATAAGGATGCTATTTGTGCAAACTGTGTCAAATAATCACAAGTCTTTTTCATGCTCACCCACACGTCCACAAAAATTTTGAACAGCGTATAAAAAAGTGATTGCTAAAACAATAAAAGCATTTTTTTTAAATTGAAAAAAATCTTCTTTGTTCATTAACTACCATTTATAAAAAATAATGAAAACACTTTTATGCAAAACTTATTTAGAATTCAAGTAAAACAATCATTTCTCCGTTTTTATTTTAATCATCTTATTTAGAATTTGAATGAAACATTTGCTTTGCTGTTTTAAATTTAAATTTATTTTTATTTAAAATTTTAATAAAATGTTTTTTTTTGTTTTGTTTTTTTATGTTTTTTTAAATAAAATGTTTGTATTTCCATTTTTATTTTTATTATTTTGCTTAATATTTATAATGGAAAAAACACATACTTAAACTTTTTAGTCCCTGTGTAATAAAATTAATAAATAATTAATAAAACAAATTCTCAACCAGAGGTAATTTAGGTAAATTAACTGTTATTTAGATGGTAGCCCTCAGAGTTTCAGACAGGAGGAAATCCAGTGTTATTTAGCGTGGTATTCCTCTTATCAAGAAAAGAAGAAAAAAAACTTTAAAAACTGACATTTTATTGTGTTTAAAAAATTCAAAAAACAATCAGTGTTTTACCAATATCGTGCAAAAAGTGATATAACTAAATATAGAACTGATATAACTAAAATGACTGAGATACAATACAATAGATATGATACAACATTAATAGATATAATGACTGAGATACAACATTAATAGATATAATTGATAAATTATGCAAAGCCACTAACATTTCAGTTCCTATTTCAACTTCAGGCAGAAAAGCTAGCGCAACATTTAATATCAAGAGTATTAGAAAGATTCTAGATAAAACATCATTAAAAAAATCAACTGAATGAACTAAAGAAAAAAATTGCTACCACACCTGCATCATTTTGGAGTAACTTTCCTAAACCCACCCATTGTCCAAATCACCTGAACAAATTGCTGTAGTTAAAGCAATAACTGAAATTAACAACAATTTGTCAAAAAGAGAGAAAAATATAATTATCTACAGCCTTGCTGAAAATAAATCAACTGACTCACTAGAACATACCAATATTGATAAAACCAGCACAAAAAACTTACTTGATTCAATAGCAGTAAACAGTGAAAGAACAAGAAGAATAATTCGATTCAAAAGTCAAAATTCAAACGAAACAGAGAACAAACGAAAAAGCCAGGAAATAGGAAAAAACTTATTGCAGAAAGAAATGATAAAAACAATAAATTAAAAGGATCAAATGAAGAAAACAAATTTAAATTCATTTTAAAAAGAGATTCACTGATCAAAGTTAACCTTGAAGGGAGGCAAACTAATACCAATGAGTAATTCAAAAACATAGATACATTTAAATTTGCCACCATTACACAGAACTTTATCATCTAAATCAACATATTACTCAGCTCGAACTTTATTGAACTGTTATTATACCAATGCAACGTCCTTAAACAATAAAATGCAAGAGGTTCAAACAATCACCCTTCATCATAATTTCAACATTATTTTCATTGCAGAAATATGGTTTACAGAATCATCTGTTTCTTATATTACCAACTATGAGTTATTTAGAAAAGATCGTGGTAGTTATGGGGGTGGAGTAGCCACATATGTCAAATCGAAATATACAAATACTAAAACAAAAAATAAGATAAAGATACTAAATGAATTGATGTGTCGAGCAACAGTGCTGCTGTCTATCAATTGGCAAAGAAAAACTGTTGCTTGAATGTACATACAGGCCAATAATTTTCAATGCACAGGACAACCTCAAAACTTATCTAACCACTATAAGAGACAAAAAAATTTATGAATCCTTCTATGAAGCTAACCGCTGCCTCTTGTCTTAAAATTTTGATAGGGTAATGATTGCAGGCGATTTCAACTTTGACATCAAATGGGACGTAGAATGTAACCCATTTAATTCAAATAGTCACAAAAGCAAATCAAATTTTATCAATACTGTTAATGATTGTCATTTTATTCAACAGGTAAAAAAACAGGATATCCCTCTTCAATCGATCTAATATTTACTGGAAGACCAAATATCAGAGATATCTCCAGGGCCAACGCTTGGCAACATGGACATTGTCATATAATATGGAAATTGATGATGGTTAGAGAATTAATTCATTAATTCTCTAACCATCATCACAATTACTCTAAAGGTGATTACAAGAATCTAAGACTATATATAGATAGCATAAATTGGTCAGAAATACTCAAACCCTGAGATTGTATTAAACTTTGTATCAAATCATTCTTACTAATAGTCTTATCATCTAAGTTATGAACCACGATTAAAAAGGCTTAATATTACAACGCTAGAAACTCAAAGGTTAAAATGAGAATTAATCAAGTGTTTTAAAATTGTCCCTGGTTTCATAAAAGTTAAATGGTGTATATCTACGTCAAAAATAATAATAAAATCTGATGATTAATGGAACAATCTGTATACAGAAGAAATCCCATTCGATTCAAAAAAGAACTAATGAAAGAATGTTCTCCATTAAGAGAGAATTTTATTCTTAATAGAATAGCCACTGTATGGAATCGTCTACCTTCGTTTATCATGTTATCTAGATCAGTGAAAACATTTAAAAAATGATTAGACAAATATATTGAAAGCAAATACATTTGCTGGCTAATATAGTCACCAGCTGATATAGAACGTGTTTATTACACGTTCTGATTTAACATTATGAAAATTTAAATTATTTTTTATATATTGCTGGGTTTTTTTCAATTATTTTATCTAGAATTTAAATAAAACGTTTATTTTACTGATTTTCTATTAATTATTCATTTAGAATTTATTCAAAGCGTTCTTATTTTAATTTAAATAGCAAATAAAGATGAATTTTTAAAATCGTGCACGCCAGCCAATAATAACCATCTGGCCAGCACTTTTACATTTTTTATTTTATATATATATATATATATATATATATATATATATATATATATATATATATATATATATATATATATATATATATATATATATATATACAACATATATGAGATTTTGGTTCAATACTCATATTTAAAACCTGTTGAATTGATTTAATATGCTGTAAACAAGTTTTTTATGATCTCTGGTGTCCAGGAGCTCTAAAATGTTAAGTGACTTATGATCTGCAATCAGAAAAAAATTAATGAGATTTAATGACTTGAAACCTATTATTTTTTAATCCAGTGTCTGGGAGTCCCTTGCTGTTATTTTACATAAAAACTCTAGGTTTAAAATCAATTGTTTCTCTACCTAAAAGTGTTAATTTTTTTCCTTAAGTAGTTCATAAGCTTCTTTATATTTTTGGAGCTCCTGAATACCAAAAACTAGAAGAAAAAAATAGCTTTGTGACTTTCAAACTCAGAGTCCTTTATGGGACTGAATTGAGCCTTATACTTATACAAGGATTTTATAAAGTTATCATTAAAAAGATTTTCTGTTTTGGTAATTCCTTACATAATATACTATGCCATAAGTCAAAACTCCCTCCAAATAGTCACACTAACTTGATTGCACATGAAACTCATGTTAAATTAGGGTAATAAGAAAAAAGATTTCCACACAAATTCAAAAACATAAAAAAAATGTTACTAAAGCTCACTGGGATACATCAGGAGAATACAAACAAAATTGAGATAGAACTATAAACTAAAAAAATTCCTAAAACACTTTCTGTTGTTTCAAACAAATGAATTATTAATGGTTAATTTAGTTTGATAATGGCTTTTACTTTATAAGCCAAAATATCACTTTTAATAATAAAAAATTGTATAATTTTGTATGTTTATTCCACACCAACCTATCTATACTATTTTTTCATATATATATCCCAGCTGTTCGAACCCATAAAATACAGGTCTTCACCAAACCGACCGTTTGTATACTTATCTATTCCACACTGATCATTTCTATACATATTTCTTATTTACTTCAATATTTTTTAGTCAATGGTAGAAAAACAATTCATTAAAAAAATTGCCCCCATTGCCACAACACAACTGTCAAGTGAAAGTTGAACTATAAAACTTATATGTTTAAACATTACACAATTTGAAGTACACACAAGTTATATATTTATATACACTATCATTCACATTTTCTTATAAATATATATATATATATATATATATATATATATATATATATATATATATATATATATATATATATATATATATATATATATATATATATATATATATATATATATATATATATATATATATATATATATATATACATATATGAGAGAGAGAGAGAGAGAGGTAACTTATATATTCTAAGCATGTGAAACGTGCATTTTTTTCAGAATGAAAAAAAACAAAAACATTTTAACAAATATATAAAATATATTTAAGTTATTGCCAAAATAATTTAACCTTTTTAAACAGTTTTCCATTTTCAGGTAAAGACTGGCTCATTAGACATGCCAATGTTGAATAGTTTAAAATCTTATATGAATTATCAGCATTCTGAACAGTCTTTATAAGATCTATAATACATGGTACCCAAGTACTAATTGCTGGTATTAGCACAGTAACCAAATTTATATCTTGATCTGTTGCCTTTTGTACAGTTTTAAGATGTGTTGGTGTAGCTAAGTTTATCCATACATGTTTCAAAGACATATCACCAAAAATCTTACAAGAATTATTTATATGAATATTTTCAATACAACTTGATGACTGCTTAAATAAAACTTTTTGATTGAGTCTGGTATTTGATTCTCCAAATGTAAGTAATGGTTCTGGCAAACTTTCTCCAGTTTCAATATCCAAAGATATATAGCCTTTGCGAACTTTTTGCCAATCAGAGATTGAGTTAAGAGATGACCTAGAAGTATTATACAATAAAAGTTCGTTATTTTCTTTATTGATATCTGTTTTGGTATTTATGAACTCTGAATCAATATTAGAAGTCAAGTCATTATTTATAAATTTTCTAATGTTTATTTGTTCTTGATTAACAAATTTTATTTTGATTCCTTCTACTCCAGCTTCACAAATTATATTACCAAAAATATCTTCTGCAACAGCATCATCATTTAAATGAGTATATAGACTTCTGTCATACTTTACAGAAAAGTTTACATTACTTTTAAAATGTGGAATTTCAGTTAGGCGTGGTACTTTATCAATATTACCTTTAAGATGTAAAAGCTGTAATTGAGCATTACCAATATAGCTGTCAAAAACAGTTGAGCTTGGTTTAATAAGTGTTTCTAATTTATGCAATATTTCATGTTTGTCAATATGTTTAGCAACAGTAAACTTCTGAAAAAAGTTCACAACTGTATTATTTAATGATGGATTTTCCAGTTGTTGATATAGAGCCAGGTTTGTATTTGAAATAGATAGTGCTAACATGACATAGTCAAGATTTTTAACATCGACATCAAGAGAATATTCACTTCCACACTGACCATTAATAGAATTAGTATCAAAAGGTGTATAGGACTCCGTAGAAATTTGAAAAAACAAAAAATTCAAATGAGGTAACTTAAAATTAACAGTACTAATGTTAGGAGGTGCTATTTTATCAATTTGTGCTTTAAGAGAAGAACTTTCACATTGAGAAAACGTATTGAGAATACAACTTTCTTTGTATTTATCTTTAGATCTAGAGATACAACCCAAATGGAAGTGGTCAAGAAGATGACAAGGATGGCATAAGAATAAACTGGATTCAAATGCAGATATATACCTGTAAAAGAACATAATAAAAGCATACTCCCATAATACCAAATAAAATTACTAGAATATTTTAAAATAATAATTTTTAAACTCAAAAATGAAATCATAATAACCTATCTACTACTTTGGTAACAAGAGGAGTGAGAATGCAAACCACTTGATCATGCAACTTAGCATTTATAAATCTCTTATTGCTTTTATCTGCACTAAAAATAAATTTTCTACATCAAGCAATTTAAACAACAGTAAGCCAAAAAAAAAGCAACAAAAAAAAAAAAGCTTAATACATTTCTGAATTTTTAAATGTGTCTTTATCTTCCTCATCCTTTAAAAAACTATTTTGATCAATATAAAAGGGTAATTTTCCTTGTATATTATTCGCCTGTACATTAGGTCTAAAATGTGGCAGATTTGGTGTAGAATAATGATATCCAGGTGGACGGATAACCTGAAAAAACATAAACAATTTCTTTATACATTTATCTGTATGTGTCTATGTTTGGGTGTGTTGTAGGAGGAAGGAGGGGGGGGGGGGAGAAAGACTCAAATTCAACCCTTCTTCTTTAAATACATTATAGGTTTTAATGCTGCCCAGACACACCCAAGTACAACTTCTCAATTTAAAAATGTTTATATTCAATTTTTTCTCCATTACAAAAAATAAAATGACAGTCATTTTCAATCAAACTGCATAATTTTATCATAAAATGATTCACTTATTGTGATAACACCTTCTATAAAAGTAATATTAATAACATCTTTTAAATTAATCTAACTTAAAGTCTACCGGAATTAAACAAAATTTTTTAAAAAAATCTTTAGTCATAATAATGATTTTAAATTAACTTTTTTAATATTTTTTTTATTATACATTTTACATTTTTTTATATATTTTAATTCAAAATAATGTAATGCCATGTTTGCTCTTCTTTCTGCAATAACCACCTGAAAACATTCTAAAATTAATGTTGTGCAGCTCTGCCCAGATTTTTAACATACATACATACACATTTACACATACATACACACATGTTCACACACTTTTGTAACACCTACTTTTAAGTTATTTAATAAGTTGAAATTCTTCTGAAGATCAGACGGAACTTTTTGTGGCCAATTAATGCAGGTAAATGATTGTAAATAACTTCCATATGCTGCTAATAGAGTAGGTTGGCATAATGGTTTTATCGACAGTGTAGAATAATCAAGTTCATCTATGTTTACTGAGAGATCTTGCACAGAAGTTACAGCAGAAGCATACTGTGAGCTAGATGAAGCAATAGATGCATTAGATGACTGAGGAGATAATGTAACATCCCTCATTGATCTAAGAGTAAAAACATTTATATAATAAAATATGATACAAATAAGGTCTTTACCTTATTTGTCACTTGTGTCATTTACAAGAAGTTTTAAATACCAGTTTTAAATACCTTTTAAATAAACTACATATATATATATATATATATATATATATATATATATATATATATATATATATATATATATATATATATATATATATATATATATATATATATATATATATATATATATATATATATATATATATATATATATATATATATATATATATATATATATATATATATATATATATAGGGTGGTTGAATTTTTCATCTCATTTGTTTGTGAATAAGTGTTTGTGGTTAGCCCATTTTTTCTTCTATTCACTTTTTGCTAGGCCAATATTTATTTTTTCTGGAGTGTTAGGGAGGGGGGGGAGGGAGGAGGAGGAATACTACACATTTATAAACAACATTAGAGGCTCTACATTTTCCTATTATAGGGCAGTTTTTTTTATTTATGCAATTGCAGGATGGGTATTCTTTTGGTCTTTCTGTACTGATTTTCTTGTTGTGGCTTTTTATTATTCTTTCAATATTTTTGGTGCAGCTGTAACTCACTTTGATGGTATTTCGATTGAATAGTTTACTTAGGGGGTGGGATGATGGAGAATGTTTGTGGATTAAGTTTAGGAAGATATGTCCAACATTGGTAGAAAGGCTTTTACTATACAGGGGGTTGAACCATATTATATTTCTTTTTCTTTTCTTTTTTTCTCTTTTTTGTGGGTTATACTTTAAATTAAAATCAGTGAAGTCATTTCTTCTTAATTGATCTTCGTACTCTAGTATAGATAAATTAAATATTTTTTTAATTAAGGAATTTGGAGATAATCTGTCATTGATAGAGATGGAGATTCACTTTATTATTTGTGGAGGATGGTTGGAATCAATGTGGATGTAATGTAGATATTCATTTGGTTTTTGTGAAAGGTTGGTAGGAGTTTTTTTCTAAGTTAAAAGATACATCTAAGAAGTTAACTATGGGTAGGTTTGTTTGGATTTCTATTTTAAAACTGATCATATAACTCTGATATCATTAATTGAGCACTCTTGCTGAATATATGCTCACAGCAAAATTATATTTGGTAAGTGTAATTAATAATATACCAATATTATTAATTTCAATTACCAATAATATTAATAATACACATCACTAATATTAATAATTTATACAATGAAAAAGTATTATCTAATATTTCCAACACATTTGTTCTAATATGTAACTGCCGGCAACTTTTCATAATATTGTTTGCAAGGTATGTGTCTTAGTAAAAATATAATTTACGTCTACAATATAAAAACATCACTGCAGGATAGTGGTTTAAATTATATTGGTTTAACGGAGCATACCTTTAAAGATCGCTGGTACAAACATAAAAACCCCTTTAAATACAATAGTAAAGTTAACACCACAGAACATTCTAAATATATCTGGGAAACGAAAAAAATGGGCTTTTCAAATCCTATTCTTACGTGGAAGATTATTGATACGGCAGAACCATTTAAATCTGGAAAAAAGTTATGTAACCTTTGTTCAACCAAAAAATACCATATCATTATATCATCTTTGAAACTATTGAATAAACAAAATGAATTAATATCAAAATGTCGCTACAAAAACAAATTTGTTACATTTTGCAACAAAACTATATAAGGCGAAGCAGAAAAAAAAAAACAGTTTTGAGTCTACAATAAAAAGAATGATTTTCAGAAAAAGTTATAAAAAAATAAAACAATAAACTTACAACTGTAAAAGTAATAACACTCTAGTAACTAACTGCATTACAAAAGTAATAACACTATAATAGTGTTATTACTTTTATAATACACTTATAACTTTTATAATTCATTCTTTGTTCAAATAACATAAGTAATTCCTAAGCATCTAGCAAATAGAGTGAATATTGAAATAGTATTTAAAACTTAAGGAACTTAAACAATTTATAAAAACATACTATATAAAGAGTTTAGCATTATGAAAAACGTACTAATGGTCCGTAAAAACGCCCATTAATTTTAAAATTGACCGATAAAAATTTTTTATTGGTTGATTTTAAAATTAATGTGCATTTTTACGAACTATTAGTAACGTTTTTCTTAACGCTAAACTTTTTATAAAGTACGTTTTTATAAAGTTGTTTAAGTGATTTGTAAAAGTTCCTGAAGTTTTTAATAATATTTGAGTATCCGCTTTATTTTTTCTAGATGCTTCTTCTAGATTCTACTTAAATTAATGGTTGGAATTACTAAAGTTGTTTGATTAAAGAATGAACTTTAAAAGTAATAAGTGTTTTATAAAAGTAATAACACTATTATAGTTTAATTACTTTTATAATTCAGTTATTGACTAAAGTTACTGAGTGTTAATACTTTTGTAGTCATAAGTTTACTGTTTTGTTTTGTTTTTTATAACTTCTCGCTAACAAACTTATAGTAATTTGCTCCTTGAAAACAAAGTACACAGCTTTGCAAATCGAGTTCGCAAATCGCGATTGCTTAATTTAAGCCTTGATAATATAATATTTTATATATATATATATATATATATATATATATATATATATATATATATATATATACACACATATAGTCTTTTCCATTTTAAATTTAATGCTAGAGCACAAAAAAGCAATGACAGGTCATTTTTAGGCTAGGGTGCTATTTTGAAAATTAATCTTAATTTGATACTTGAATTATAATAAAAGCTGCTGAAAACACTTTGAATGAATTGTAAATGAAATAAATTAAAAAAAAAAAAGCGGTAAAAAGAAAGTTTTGTTTAACTTCTAGATAAAATAATTTAAATAAAAAAGGCAATAAAATAATTTAAAAAAACACTAATAGAATAATTAAATTTTATAACACTAATAAAATAATTCAAATAAATAATGAAAAACAAAAAATGTTTAAATATTTAACAAAATAATTAAAATAGAAACAAAAAAGGCAAACGTTATCTAAATTCTCAATAAAATAGTTAAAATAAAATGTCAAAATAAATGATTTATTTAAGATCTAAATTAAATTAAAAATTAAATTAATTAATTTAATTCAGATCTTAAATAAATCATTAAAAAAAAAAAAATTATTTAAATTCTAAATAAAATTTATTAAATTCTAAATAATAATTACATTAAATGAATGTTTTATTTGAATTCTAAATAAGATAATTAAAATAAAAAATGACAAAATAAATGTTTTATTTAAATTAAAAATAAAATAAATCATACACAAAAGTATTTTCACAATTTTTTTATAAAAGTATTTGATGAGCAAAAAAGATTTGCAATTAATAATTTTTTTTTTTGGAAAGCGCTTTTTAATATATATATAAATTTTTTTTTTTGGAAAGACTGACATATATATATATATATATATACATACATACATTCCTTACTTCAATATTTTTCAGCTGGTGGTAAAAAAATAACTATATCCATATACAAAAACTATACTCATTATTTACTTTTTAAAGCTTTGAACAAAAAAAAGTTTAATTAACTTTAAAACTTTTTTAGATGTTTCGGTAGCCATAACGCGAATCGCTATTTATCAACTAATTAAATATCAGTAGCTGTCTAAATAACATTTAGAATACCTGCTTAAATGTCTTTATTAATTACCTTCGGTTTAATTTAAAAAATTTGAGATGACTTAAATATGTGGAATAGCCGACTTACCATGACCCTTATTCTAGTCTATTTCACTTCAACCATTTTAATAATTTCGCTTTATTTCAATAATTTTTAAAAAAGAGTAAAATATAAAAAAACTTTGTTTTGAGTTAACGATTTATGTTTAATACTTTATAACTTCTACAAAAACAAAGTACAAAAAAAAAAAAACAGGAAGAGGCTTGATTGTTTTTTTTTTTAATAAGTTTCTATTAATTTTTTTTCAGACCATCTGCAGCTTATAAGGTTTCTTGCTTCGTTAATTTTGAAGAAAGTTAAAGTTGGAATATAAAATATGCTTAAGTATGCTAAAATATGCTTAAATATGCTAAAATATGTTAAAGTTGGAATATAAATAAAACTTTAATGGCATATTTTATATGCCATATTTAATGGCATATAAACGCACAAGCTTTTATTACTTAAGCACATTTAATTACTTAAGCACATTAACAACATAAGTTGTTTATCATAAACACTAATTACTTAATTATAAGCACATAAACTTTATGTGCTTATAATTATCTCTATCATGACATATGTGCACAAATTTTCCAATAGTGTTTTTAGAAATTTTAAAAAGCTTTTTAAAAAACTCTCTCCCTTTTGTTTGTTACAGTATGTAATGTTTTTATATATGTTATGCATATAATATCCATAGTATTTTTTAGATTTTTTATTTTTTATTTTAGAAAATTAGAAAAAACTTATAAAAAAAAATTTTTTTGCAAAAGGATTTTAAGCCACACGAAACACATCAACCACTTTAAGCATGCTTTATCATCTTTTAAAACTGTTTATAAACCAAAGACTTATTAAACTTTATAAAACATTTATAGCATATAAATGGCATAAATCAAAATTAAAAAGATATTGCTGAAATGAAATTTTCAAGTAAAAGTAAATCTGTAAAATTTGATATCATTTTAATAACTTGAAGTTTACAGGTTATTTGCATAGGCTTTCGTTCACATAGATAAAATACAAAAGGTGAAATACAAATCATTTCAGATAGTGGGTTTAAAAAAATGCCAAATAGCTTTGTAAAAAAAAAATATATTTTTATTTACATATTTATTAATAAATTAACAAAATTTAAAAATGTTCAATAGTTTTCAATTGTATGACTATATTGAACAAACACGTCATCTAATTAATGATCGAATTAAATAAAGAGAAAAATGCATCACACAGATTTAGTTGGCAACTTTAATTTCGAAGGCCTTTTTTTTTTTAAGACGCTAGTCGGTACTTTTTGAAGTCTCACCTTCCCCCCTTCCCCT